TTATAAATTCCGAGAGTCGCTTACTCTTTCTCAAAACATTAATGTTAAAGTCACCACAAAGTAAATGATGTGTAGATGGTGCCACTATAATATCATCCGAAACCTTTTGTAGTAAAAGGAGTGTCTGAGTTTTTACCGCGCCAGGAGGAATATAAACACACGTAATAATTGTACTTTTTAGTTTTTCATTTGTAATTTTGACGCTTAATAATTGAATGTTGTTACAACTTGTTCTTTTTATTATTTCATAATTTATTTTACATTTTATATATAAGCATACGATTGCTCCTCTACGCTTACGAGAACTTTCAATGAGAGGTTGATATTCTTTTATTTTGAAAATATTGAAATTCTGGTTTGGTGAAAGCCAGGTTTCGGTGCAACATATAACACTAGGCAAATAATTTAGTTGAGTTAGACTAACTTGAAATTTGTCTATGTTTTTTGGTATTGATCTTATATTTTGCAAAAGAACCTGCTCAATGGTATTCATGATATACTGCCTTTTGTATCTTTGTTGTTCTGAGATAGAAAAAAAAACAAATGATGATAAAAAATCACAAACTCCCTCGGTTGGCCTGAAAGCTTTTCCCTTCTACTTCCCTATGTTTCATACGTTGTTCTTGTATGTAAGCAATATCCTTAAAATTGCTGTTTTAGAAACAAAATTTCTTGATTTGCCGTGTTTTCAATTTAACTTCTTAACTGTAGAGACCTGAAGTTTCCTCATTTACATCCAAGTTTCACGACAAAAAAATAATAATCGTAATAAAATTGAAACTTAGGTAAATTTTAATTTCCAGATAGAAAATAAAATTTTTCATTTAGTGTCAACTCCGCGTTATCACAGAGCACACCAAAGTTCACTCGCATAACCAGTCCATAAGCCCCTTTCCAGGCTTAGAGGTCGCGTTATCACAACCAACCTGGAGCGCTCGCGTTATCACAAGCAGGGCAAATGGAACTGACAGTGAGATTTCAATCCAAAATTGATTATGACTAACAATATGAAACAAACAAAAAGTTTGGGTTAAGTTGTTTCTGACATAATTTGACTTATTTGAAACTTTAAACCAAATTGAAAGAAGTGGGGAAAAAAATCCAAAAAGTCACTTCCTTAGTTCAAAAGAAAAAAAAATAAAAGCAATAGTATAATTATTATAAACAAGTTAACAGGTTAAGTTAGTGCAGAGTTGCACGGCGTGATAGTATCAACTCATTTTATCGTTCATTTTATCATAAGACAATGTATAAAATACTCAACAAAAAGTTTGAAAGCGTGTAACTGATTAGAGTTTATGAGTCTATTTATTGCTCATATATAGTTTTTTGCCCTCCGGTGAGACTCTATCGCTTGCACCTCTGCTGCTTTTGTTAACCTCAACAAATTTTCTTTTGATCGCATTTGGTTCCAATTTATTAAGATCATCCAAGCTATTGACTTTCATATACTTTTTCGATCCATTTTCACCAGTAACTGCAACTGATACAATGCATTATTTGGTGACCGTCTCCAACCCCATTCGAACAGCAGTTGCTTTGATCTCTGCGTCAGCTTTAGGCAATGTTTCATTTAAAATAATAATTTTTTGGTTTATTGGGTTGACCTTTTTTCTAAGAGCCCTTCTATTTTTCCAGACTTGCCTTTTGTCCTCGAAGTAAATGAATTTGCATATTACGCAGGGAAGGAAAATACCTGTATCACCAGGCAGGACATGGCAAGCTTTCACACCTTCATACTTAATTGTTATACCCAAAAACTTCTTCAAAAGTTTTAGTGTTTCCATTGTTACGTCTCTCACATTGCGCGCATCGTAAGGAGGATTCAATATTATAATACTATCTTTTCTTGAATATCTTTCCTGAGCACGCAGTCGTTCCTGCATGTCCCGTTGATTTTTTTTCCAATTCTTGAATACGAAGTTGTTGAGCACCCGAAAACATTTTAAGACCATCAATTTCTTTTTGTAACTCGCTCACCTTAGTGTCACTTGTTTTACTCTCGGAACCTCGAGCAGGGGTGGAGCTGACTGAAGTTCCCACCAAAACATCTTGTTGATCCACATTTATGATAGATAAGCCGTCAAATAAATATTTTTTAGAAAAAATAATAATAAATGTAACTTGGATAACAAAAATTAGGATAGTTATTAATTGAATAAAGTCAATCAGAAAAATTTTTGGAAGATTTAAGCTCAATTGTTTTAAATCAAATCGACATCAGGGTTCCTAATAATCAATTACTTTTATCAATGTCAAGTTTTGGGATTGTTTTTAAACGAACCTTTTGGCCAGAAAGAGAATTCGCAAGAGATTATATTTCATTTCAAGTTTCATTTCAAATTTCAATTCAAATTTGTGTCTTTTTTTCTCGAGGTCAACCGACTTTTCGCTCTTTCGCGTTCTCTCTTCTTTGGCTAATATCTTATAATAAATAAGTTAACAAGGTCCAATAGGGGGGAAAATTGTTAAGAAAATCCTAATGATTTGATCTTTATTCAAAAATTATTTTGTGTTGCGATTTTTATGCTAGTCGATACGTTTTTCATTTTTAAAATCATTATGCTAGTCGAGCTTTATGCTACGCGATACTGTCGTTTCAATGCAAAAAATGACCTTTTTGCCTTTCATTGACCTATTTTTTGTTTCAAGCTACTTTTTTGATTTCAAATAAAAAGTTTTCATATATTTAGCAAATAGGCTATCAAATTACCAGAAATCAGCATGCTGGAAAATGTTTTAAATAATCCACCCTTATTAAAGGCCAATGAAAAATTTTAAGACATGGATTTAACTCGTGTGATCTGTAGTTTTTTTTTCAGAAGATTCTTATAACAGAATTACGCTCAGTTTTGGTTTTTGTTCCGATCCTTGAAAAAGGTAGAAAAATGAGTTCGGTTGTTTTGCTTTTTTTTTGATTTTTTGATTTTTTTGATTTTTTGAGATTTAGTCTAAATTTGAGTGAGTAAGACTTTTAGGCTCACAAAACTTGATTTTACTATAAATTAAGCTTGTTTCGGATGTTTAATTCTGCGCTTATTTGGCATTAATTTAAAATTTTTGTACAAAGAAATGTTTTTTATCTTTGATTTTTGAATATTGTCGATCTTGCCTAACTCATTAACTTTCTATGCATTTGTATAATTCTCGAAACACTCCACCCACTAAAAATGACCCTAATTTGAAGAAAAGAAAAGAAAAAATAGTTTTTTTTTGTGAAGATCTTCGGAACATTCTGAGCTATTTGCACTGCATTAGGCTATTTAGTTTGTATTTTGATTTTGATTGTTGTTTGGATCAAACAAATAAATTTTTTGGTCAAATTCCGATATGTTTCAACCGTGCTTGAGACATATTTTGGCCGTACTCAACAGAGTTTCAATTTTACTCGTGGTACATTTCGTGTGATATGCCCGTGCTCGTGACATGTTTCGAGTTTGTGCTCGTCCCATGCCACTGTATCGACTATTTATTTTCGTTTGAGCACTGACATTGTGTGTCGACTTTTAAAGTCGAAACAAACAAGAACCATGACCAGGGTTTTGATGAGATCGCACAATTTTTTTTGTAATTCAGTATTTTTGTGTGTGTTTTTGTGAGACAATATTAACATTAAATTGAAACATTCTCAATGTATCGGACAGCTACCGGTTTTGTTGATGAATTAGCTTAACTGAGGCGGCGTCTTGCTCAATTTTTTGCAACATTCATTTGTTTGAAGAGAGTAAAAAACATGAGAAACATTATTCCAGAAAATGGAAGATCCTTAATCAGACGAACTATCGAAGCACTCAAACGTTTTGTAACTTCCGAAGCACTTAAGCATTTCACATACCATTAAAATGGTTTTAATAAGTTCACAGGCCTTACTTGCATACATCTTAATGGCGCCAAATTGAGGCAATTGGAGATTTTCCGAAAAGTCAAATGGCGTCTGAGATCATTAAAAATGCCAACTTCCACATTTATTGTGACGTAAATTCAAATCGAAAATTCAGTTGTTTGATAGAACCCAATCAGCAAATAGAAATCAGAAAAGTAAGCGCATAAAACTAACGATTTTTTCTGCCAGAAAACATTGAAATTTGCTTAACAAAAAAGCTAAGCTTATGCGACCTATTGACGCTTAAACTGGCATATCAAAAGAGCTGTTTATTTGCAGATGACATCGATTTTGAGAAATATCATGTCAGAATATGAACGGCATTTAATGAAAAAACGCTTCTTGCTTTGAAAATTTTCTCGTCAGAAATCATTTAAATAAATTTAAATTTTCCTCCTAGAAAACTTCCGAAAAAGGAGAAAAAATTGTATCTAAATGGCAAAACAGCATGAAAAAGCTTTGAAATTTGTTAATCTGCATATGACTTTTTAAACCATCAGTAGCAAAAGTGAATTAAAAGTTTTGAGAAAAACGTTCAAAGCATCAATTCATCGAAATTTCTAAGCTAGGCCTTTTTGGGACTTAATTTTATCAATATAACAATATGAAAGCTTGTATCGCTTTTCAGAGCTTGCGTAAATGTCACATAAAAACTGCTTTATTTTTTCGTCTGATACCTCAACCCTGGTCAAATCAAAGAATTCGGCTAGGAGGCTGAGATACAAGAAAAAGATAGCCTCAAATGATCCCAAAAGTTGTCCATAAAAAATAGATTCAAACGAAACAAAAACTTCTAAAAAACTGCTTCGAAGAACTAGAAAAACGTCCGGAAAAGCTTCGAATGAACCAGAAAAGCGTCTAGAAAAAGATGGCTTTAAATGAACCAAAAATGTCCAATCAGGCAACTTCGTTCAATCGTCCCAATTGACCTTTCAATATGCTCAATTGACCTCATTGCTGTAAATGGTCTATATTAAAAGATGGAAAAAGGCAGTAAACATTTTTTAAAATTATTTTTTAAATTGAAAGGAATGGTTTTGATAGTAAATCACTTTTCGGCGCAAATGAAAGAAAAAACGTTTGTTTTTTTGTTCATGGTTTAAAAATTCACGTGCTTTTTAATACTCGCGTCTATTACACCAGATTATTGATTGTCAAACACGTACTTTTGTGAAACCATATAACGTATTTTTTTCTTTGATGGTTTCAGTGTTGTTCAATTGTAAGCTTATCAAACTTTTATCAGTTTTTCAAGTTTATCTTCAAGTTTTTATTTAAATTCTATTCAAAATGTCGAGAGTCAAATCTGATCAAGTGATTGCAAAGAATTCCGCGAAACCAAAACCTGAGCTGGTCAAGAAATATCGAACACTGGAAAAAGCTTTAATCTACGAATTTATAGACGACCACGTAGAACTGCGGGACAAATATCTTCAGAAATCAGTCGAACTCCACCAGAAAGTGTTCGGCGATTCGTCCGAAAGAATTTCCACTAAAGTTATTCCAAAACAGCGTCGCCCAAATTCGAGAGTAAGAATAAGTTCAGACAGTACATTTGCAAGCGTCAGTTTGCCAGCCGATAAAAAACCTACAGTTACGAAAAAATCTGCCTCGCCGAATAGATTAAATAGATCGAGAATCGAAAAATCATCTCTCCGGTCATCGAAAACATCTCAGGGATCAGCTTTACAAAAAGAAGAAGAGATCGATATTCCACAAAACTCATCAGCTAAGAACTCAAACAGAACTGTTTCGGCTAAAAGAACAAAAAGTGTTGATTCACTGACTTTTTCGTCGTCAGATAATGAGACTAAAGAGGAAGACAAACTTAGTCTACTCAATTTGGAATCGAAATCAGAATCAAAAACGGCCACAAAAGATTCGGAAAATAAAGTCGAATCGAAAGAAAACAGTACGATAGTGTCGGATCATGACAGTAACACTCTAAGTTCCAAGGGTTCCAAAAACTCCAAGGCCTCCGAGAACTCAAAAGGGGCCAGGGATTCCAGTAGTTCCTCTGTGTCCAGCGTGTGGTCTGAAGAATCTTCAGACAACAGCTATAAAGAATATCCAAAGTTAAATTACAAAACTGATCAGCTGAGACCACAAACAGCTATGGAGATTCCGAGATCAAAGAGTCCGCCGCGTGAACAGACTTCTGAGGCGACTAAGGATAGTCGGATTGAATCCTCCGAAAATAATACGACTCCTAGAAAGCAAACTAGGGCCAAGAAAGTGTCAAATAGCGCAAGGCCCAACAATGTTAAGAAACAGAGTGCACCTTTCATAAACGGTTAGTGGTATCCTGATTCTAATTTGTATTTTTTGTTGCATTTTTGAAGTACTAGATTGTTGATTGAACTCAGAACTGCGAGAAAATGAAAGTTGATTAATATTTACAACACAAAGTAAAAAACAATTTGAAAGTAAAAAGCGTTGATTTTGTAAATATGTATCTTGTTTTTGTCTCTTAAATGTATCATCATAAACCTAGTGTTATGGAGGTTTTCAAAAATTAAAATGCGTTTCAGAAAAACAAAGAGTGCGTTCGTCTCTTGACTCCCGCAGTCGTGACCAATCAGCCTCGATTACTAGTCCATACGAGCTGAAAATAGACGATGTCTCTGCAGCTAACTCGTCCTTGAAAGCGGAACCAACCTCGCCTCACACACGACTGGTAGATCATCATCTGAAAAACACTCACAAGGTACCAATGTGACATGGAAACTAATCTCATATTTTAACAAAGGGTGATTCATTTGTTCTTCCATAGTTGAAAAACAACTGAGCTGATAAGTTAAAGATTTGAAACTCCAGAAAAGAACAGTCACATTCTTTGCGAAACCACAGTAGTAAACAATCGTAATTTTTTATGGAGAAACCTTATTTTTATTTTTTGAGAAGCAATGTTGCCACAAGAACCTAAGCTTGGAAGATTTCTTAAAAACTATTCCCCATACTCCAATTATATAGGAACGCAAAATCTCGCACGTTACCCGCGGCGAGGCTCCATGGATAATAATTGACTATAATCAATTTTCGTGGTCAAAAATGCTGGAAGCGGCACGCTTTTACGGTAGCCAAATGTAAAACACAGTTAAGCGATTAGACGTTCAAGTTTTGATAATTTATTTTAAACGTTTTGGAAAATCCAGGCTCTTACACATAAAAAGTTTTTACAATCCATTATTGTCCCGACTTTCGATACGAAAGTAGCGGAATATTTGTGCTCGGGGTGGGTTTTTTTTTCTTCAGACAAAATTCGACTTTTTAACTAGCCATTTTTGACGGAATTTTTTTATATCATTCGAAAAGTATTGTTGTCCTGAGCTCAAATTTGAAAAGATATTTTACCTGGGATCATTTTTTGTAAAGTTATGGGGGTTTAAAGATTGCCATTTTGGTCAATTTGGGACAATTAGCGCACGATGTATTTCGCGCTATTAACGCGTAAGCGGAGCGTTAATCCGTCGTATAAATCGTTTCAAATTGGTTGAAAGAAGCTTATTTGCCATAATTGATTTGTTACAAGGAGCTAAATCTATCCTTTTGTACTTTATATGGCGTGTGGGGGGATGATTTTTATAAAAAATTTCAAATTTTAGAAAAAAAAGTTTCATTCTGTTTTTTTTACATTTAATTTTTCAATGTTATTACTGCTCCACCTTAAAAGGCAGTCGGAACATTCAGGGCTTCGCCCTGATACGAGCAGTCTTGTTATCTAATATATTCCATTATGAATCCATTACAATCAATTACGATGAATTAAAGTGATATCTATTTTGCTTGTTTCATAATCGATTATTAATCTATGTCAATCGATTCTTTTAGATTTTTATGAAGACAGATGAAAAACCATGAAAATTATTTATTATTCATGCAATTTCTTTGCTGATAATTACCCCAAATTAGCAATTTTCAATTCCTAAACTTCCTGAAAATACTCACCAGTGAAATATATTTTAATCCATTTGTGCTCACAAAAAAAATTTCCAAATGCTATAAAATATTTCATCAAAAAAACTTAGTTTAAAAGTCAAAAATTGACCGAATAAAAAAGCAAGCCCATTAGCTTGCCTGATTTCGATTTGGAACTATTTTATGTGAGGATTGATTCGTGTTACAATTTCAGCGTCAAACTTAGGTCTTAGCAAAATATTAAACGAGCGGTTTACTTCGAGGGAAAGTGCATATAGAATAGTGTGTAGCATCCCCGCATCCCCGCTAGTGAATTTGTATATTGATTTCCAAAAAAAATTTTGCGAAACCATTAATGAGCAACAAACTCATGAAACAATCCCATGCAGATATGTTCTTCTCCTTCTTGGGAAGTCGGATATGAAAAAAAAAGAAATCTATTCATTTGTACAAATTCATATGCATACATATCTCAAAAGGAAACAAGACTACCCGTATCGGGGCAAAACTCTGAATGTTCTGACTGCCTTTTGAAATCGATGTAGTAGTAACAACCTAAAAAAAATTAATTGTAATAAAATAAAATAAAATTTGTTTTTAGAATTTGAGATTTTATGTGAAATTCATCCCCTCGCACGCCATTTTAAGTACAAAGAGATAAATTTTGCTCCTGGTAACAATTTAATTATGGCAAAAAAGCTTCGTTCAACCAATTTGGAACAATTTCTAAGGCGGGTTAAATCTAGAATCTAAATCTAATGCTTACGCGTTATTAGCGCGAAATATATCGCGCGTTTATTGTCCCAAATTGGTCAAAATTGCAAACCTTTAAACACCCATAACTTTACAAGCAAGGATCGCAGGTGAAATATCTTTTCAAAATCAAGCTCAGGACAACAATACTTTTCGAATGATAAAAAAATCCGTGAAAAATGGCTAGTTAAAAAGTCGAAATTTCTCTGAAGAAAAAAAAACCCATCCGAGTATTCCGTTAGTTTCGTTACGAAAGTCGGAACAAAATTATATATTTAAACAAAAACATCGTTTAGGAGACAAAACAAATTTATATTTTAAACACAACTGCTCAACTTTTGACAAAGTTTAGAGTCTATGGAAAACATTAAAAAAACGGATAAAACATTTTTTGAGATTTCTTTCGACAGCCATTTCCCAATACGTTTGAAAAGCAAATGTAATTTTTTCACATAAATCAAAACATTAGTTAGACGAAATAGCATGCCTCAATTCAATTAGGAGCAATTTTTAAGACGTATTAATTTGCTGGTTATGCATCATTAGCAACAAATCTATCGCTCGAATTATCCAGAAATGGCAAAATTCGTAATATTTAAACCCCCATTATTTGCTGTAAAAAATCTGTAAAAAATTGCTGGATAAAGAATCGTAATAAGTATGAAAAAAAGTTTAAAAAAAGATGTGGCGAAAATCATGAATTGCTGTTGTTAGTATTACCAAACATAACAATTTATCTTATCGAAATTTTAAGAATAAGATTGCTTACTCAGCTAAAGAATCTTTCAAATTGGTATGTGCGAAAAATGTTTCTTCTTGGAAAGTAAGACTTTTTCCATAAGCTGATCAGATACTTTAGATGTTAAAAGGCAATCGGAACATTCCTGGTTTTCATTCTATGTACCAATTCTTATTGAGCTAGGTTTGGCAATGAATCATTCGGCTGGTATAATTTTGGACTTCATAAATGAAAATCTTGCATGCTCTAATGTTGTTTGTACTCAAAAAAAAACAGTTTAATTCCCAAAAAAATGCTTTTCTCAACATGAGCAGGAGAACAAATTTGATATGTGAAATCAACTGTTTTATATCCCCCTACATGCGATTTAATTCATTTAGCTCATTTGGCTCATTTAGCCCACCAAATTACAAATTGAATGAAAAATCTCCAAGCATAAGCACATTTGGCGCGTTTGTATGAATTGCATTTTTTTATACAATTTTTTTTTTCAAATTTATTACAAGTTCGAGGAGAACATTCTACAGTTGTTCACCTAGGGGAAAAGATTGTACGGTTGACCTGAGATATGTGATGCCTGTCAAAAACCCTCGACACAAATACTAATGGTTCCCATTTTGAACTCAATTTTTTATATCATTTAACCAAACATATACTATTTTTTTTCAGAATAATACTTTGCCCAATAATAAAATGAATTTTCACATTTTTTACTCATTGGTCCGGCCATTGAAAAAGGGGAGGAACTTTGTATTCGGGTAGGTTTTAGTTTTTCTTTTTTGTTTTCCACCTAAGGTCAGGTACCACAAATAGTCATTGCACTGAGTTGAGTGATATATCTTACTAATTAAGCAATCGAGTAACGTTTGTTATAAATGAAAATTAGCAATTTTCGTTACAAAAATTTGATTTCTCAGAAAAAAAAACTATTTTCAAAAACTTCATTCAGCTCTTCTTTCGTTAAAAAAAATCAAAAATATTTTAAATTTTTAGTGCAAAAAATTTTGAAAAGTTACGAAAAATTTGCACAGTACGGGAACACTTTGTGTTGTAATATTGCAGGAGAGTATTCTGAAGTGGCTGGAGTTGAAGGAGATAGAGGAGAAGGAGAAGGAGGGGGAGAAGAGGCGAAGAAAGAGGGGGGAGCGGAGGAGGAGGGAGGGGGAGATAGTGAGTAGGGCTAACAGGGAGAGTGAGGCTGCAATCGCCTACTCCAACTGGTTCAAAGAAAAGAGGCGCGCCATCAATTCCATGGAGGTACTTAAACCCAATCACAAAAACTGAGATTACCTTGACTTTAGTGTTTATCAATCTCTAAAAACAACGTCTTTTTTTGTTTAAAAAAAAAGAATTTTTTTCTTTATTTTTTCATCAATTTTAGTTTAATCAGTCTCTGATACAACTGTGTTTTTTTTTCAAAAAAAGTGCTGAAACTGACAAACGTTCGATGCTTATGAAAAAACGATCTTAGCTTAACTATTAAATCAGGAGACTTCAAAACAATTTCTTTTAGAACCAGCTCAAAATAGCATCGGTGGAGAATTCAAGACAGACTGAGCTGAAAAGACAGAGCGAAGAGTCCTTCCAGAAGTGGCTGAGAGCCAAAAGTGAGCAGAAGAGAAAAGAAAGACTGGCTCAGAAGAAGGCCAAAGAAAGTGAGCAGAAAGACGATCAGAAATTAGCCGAACAGAGGGAGAAAAGCTTCCAAACATGGTTGCAGAACAAAGAAAAACAAATGCGACGTGAACAAAGTCGGCAACGAAAACTCGAAATGGAAGAAAGAAAAATAGAAGAGCAAAAAAGCAGCGAAATGATTGAAAATATTGAAAAAGAACATCAAAAGTCAGACCATGAAAAAGATGAGGACAGCGAGTCGGAACAATTAGCACATGAGTTTTTGTCCAGGCGAAGACAGAAACGCGCTCCAGTAGCTCGCGGCAGAAGTGCTTTCCAGGAAATAGAGCCTGAAAAAGTCGGCAACGTTTCCAGGGCAGAGTTTGAGAGGGTGAAATTTGAAGATACCCAAAAAGAAATTGAAAAGCAGAAAAGAGACGCCTCGAAGGGGGTTGAAGGAGGAGGAGGAGGGGGAGAGAGTAATTGGGATAAGTTTTACAAAGAGGATAGAAAGCAGATGTACGAGCGACCAAGGACAACTGGGCCGTTTAGAACCAATATTAGAACAAACATCGACAAAACGACGCCTAAAAACTCAAGGTAAACGATATCTGAAGTTTTATCTTGAAACACTAGTTCTTAAAAAATCTTAGAAATGTTTCGTTTCACAAGACATTTTTTGCTAAAATACCTAGTCAAAGTTCTTTGCAATCCATTATATAGCGTTATTTGGTATAACCAAAACAACAAATCATATGCTTTAAAAGAGATCATGTTTTCAAATCATGTCTTGCAAAAAAAAATGTGTTGAAATTGATTAAAAAAACAATTCAATACAAAAATTAAAGTAAAGAAAGATAGTATGAAAAGAGACCGAAAAATGAGGGAAAAAAACGGTCTCATTTTATTTGTTTTTAGAGAATTAACCAAAAAAGAAGTCTCTCCCAGTCCCTCGACAACAATGCGACAACTACGCAAACCTAAAATAACTTACGAAGAGTTTGTCAAACTGGACGCGGAGAAAAAGAGAAAAGCACTGGAGCCAAACATCAGCAAGGACATTTTAGAAAAAAGACTTCGGGAAAGAAAAGAAAGTGAGGAACTGTCTAAGAAACGAGTAGACACTGGACTGAATATACAGAGACGAGAGGGGAACAGGAAACGAGACCAGAATTTGCTGGACAGTATTTTGAGACAAGAAAGGCCGGAACCTCAAGGCGCAGAAGAAAGTGAAGCTGTGAATGAGTTGAAGAACCAATCAGATTTAAATGAAAGCAGGCAAGATGAGAAAAAGTTGGAAGCTGGGGCTGATAATAAAAAAGAAGTGAAGTTCGTTGAGAAAATAAACAGTGATGAAGACAATGCAATTGAGTTAGATCGAGTTGGTTAACTCATAGAGTAATTTCGGATAGGGTACACCGTCTGCTCGTCACGCTATCTTATTTTCGGCCGGATAGATTCGTGCAACTTCTTAGTCTAATACCGATCCTAATCTTACTCTTATACTATCTAGTCTCAGGTTGTTTAACTAGTCTCTGCTAGGCTCAATAGATCTAGGGTATACTGGTTTATTGCGGCTGCTGAAGTGCTCGGGAGAGTCCAACTAATTTCTAAGTTAAATTCAAATCTCTCTGGTGCTGAAATTACAAGTAACTTCAGCACTTACAAATAAGTGGGTTGTTAGTTAGATGGATCATGATTGGTTAATATTAAATACTTTACATTGGTAAAATATCTAAATTATCCAATCATAAAATGTAGTCTAGATCAGGTTCCACCCATCCGGGTTTTACAGAGTTTTTTAGAATAGTTCTTCTGCAATTCGAAGGATGGATGATGGACGTTGGTGTTTGGCGAACATCTTATTTCTTCTGTTTCTTCTTTGTTAAAGAAGTTCCAGGAAGCTGGAGTTAGAGACATAAGACGTTGTGTCTTCTAGTGACAACGACTAAGTCTTTGCAACAAACTCAAATCTGATTTCAGAATGGTTTGCTATGTCAGGTTTTTCTGTTCTGCGTGGAGAACTTCTTTTGTGTCTGATCTAATTTGGGAATGGCGTGGAGATTGTGCGTGGAGGGGATGCCTGGTTACTCGGATCTGTACGTATACTTGAACATCGAGGTGGTCATTGGTCTAGTTCAATGAAGTCCTTTTCTGCGAAGTCAAGTCGTACTCTAAATCCTTTGAGTTGTGATTGTGAGTGGCATATCGATTGTGGTTGGCCATTCTCTCTCGAGTGTAGTGGGGTCGTTTTGTCTTTAGATGTTCGTCCTTGGTGTTGTATTCTGATCTATGTATTGCATAATGTAATTTACATTTTATAAAACATTTATTAGTTTAATATTTTTTAATTATGATTTTAGTTAGTTGTTTTCACAAAAGCTTTTTGTTTTAGTTCGGTTATTTTGAAGAGTTACTCACAATTGAGTAGCTCTTATTAAAAATAGAGGTGTGGTCACAAAGCGTGGATGTAGCGCGGTGGGTTAGGCCGGCTATAGAGCATGCTCAGGACGTCCTTCCTGGTGGGTTAGGCCAGGAGTGGGAGTATGATTTCATGCGGTTTTTGTGAGGGGTCCTGTTATGTGACAACGTTTTATGTTGGGTTTGTTGTGGTTTTTCTTATGTCTTGTTGGTTATGTCCTTTTTCCAAAAAGCAAATTGTTCGTGGTATGGGTTTGTCTTTCGACTTTTTTGTGTTTTATTATTTCTTTCTTAGACTTTATAATAGTCTTCAAAAGAATAAATTATCCAGTTTTAAACTGGGTTAATCCGGTTTGGGTACCGTTGGTTTCCTTTTCTTAGTCATGCTGTTATTCTATGATTTGTGGTATTTAGTAAGCTGCGTTGGTTAGTTTTGTTTAGTATATGATTCCTTTCCAACCGGGTTAAAGGAAAGTTTGAAACATGTTATTATATGTTAGAGTTGTTGAGTGTGAAAACTTGAAACTGAAATTCATTATTTTAAACAATTCTTCGTGGGCGAGCTGTGCGAGTGTGGATAGAATTTCTGTGCGAATAAATGAGAATATCAAAAGGTTAGTACTGCATTTGCATTTTATTAATTTACTGCATAGAATTTGGAAATTTACTGCTAGTTATGGGGGAATTTTAAGTTACAAATTTTCATCATAATTAGATTTACTGCTTGTGGGGAAAATTTTAGAAATGAATTTACTGCATTGGTATTAAATTTATAAATTTATAAGTGTAAGAGATTAATAGAATTTTTGAAATCTGTTTGATGAAATTTGCGATTTTTATTTGTCTTTTGTGGTTTTTGTAGGTGATTGTCGGATGAAGGCTAAAAATCTAAAGAAAACATGGATAAAGTATGGTGAGTTTTTTAATATTTTAATTAGTTAGTAATATTCATTTAATTCATACTTACCTGTTAGTCGTCGGGGAAAAAACCGTGGGGGAAGATGTCGTGAATTAGTTCTGAAGTTGTTAGTAGTTTAGCTAAGATGCGGATGATATTTTTAGTCTGAAGCAGTGGCCAAAGCAATTGAAGTGCCTTAATAGTGGTTAGTTCTTCAGTGCCAACTGCAAACTCATAAGGTGTGTTTTGGATTAGATTATATAATTTGTGATTGAATTTAGTGTTGTGGATGAATTCTAAAATTGGGATTTCTATAGGTTGTACAAACTCGTGCGGGATAAGGAAGGGTCGGGATTCTTCGGCGTTGAAGGTCTTGGTGATGGGACAGAAGATGTACATTTGGGTTATGGGATCATAATTGCGAAGAATACCATGAAGGTTAGTGTCTTTAATACAATATGTGAAATTTAGGAAAAATGGTGAAGTGTATTTGGAATTAATGAATTGAAAACGATGGTGTGGTTGTCTAGAGGGTGTGTGTAGGTCAAAGTGATTTTGGATGAAGCGATAATAACTATATGTGTGGGTTTGTTTAGTGCGCAACATAATATCGTGTGAGCAGTGTAAATCTCTTTCGTGTGGTGCAAGGAAATGAAAGGTTAGTGAAAATATTTGGAAGCGTTCTTTAAAACTTTCGTATGCTTGTGTGTCTGTTAGTGCTTCTGAAATAATGTGATCAAACTTTCGGTCGAAGATGTTTAGTGTAAATATATATGGTGTCTTGATGAAAAATTTCTCGGTAATTTGTGGATTAGCGAAGCGATCGTCGTCTAAGAATTGATCTTGGTTAGCTCTGATGATGTTGTGATCATAGTATTCGAGTGTATATTCGTTAGCTCTAGGTGCAGTGTGTGTTTTTAGTGATTTTTTATATCCAACGTAAGTAAATTGTCTAGCGGTTAGTGGTGTAGTGAGTCGATATAGCATGTCCGTATTTCGCTCTATATCGATGTGAGTGTTAGATAAAGGTAAGCAAAGAGGGTTAGTAAAATGATAATATGATGTCCAAGAGAGAGTGGGCATTAAAACGTATTCATCTACAAAGTTGTGTGTTTCGTTAGTGTCGTGGGGGGTGTTTAAGGTGTATTGTGGGAATGAGGGTAAGGTGATGGCTAAAAATTCTTTTGTGTTAGTATGCTTGGGGTGGTTGATGTATTCACGGGCTGTTCCTGGTTTTGCTGGGAAAGGATGGTTGGGGAACTTTCTTTTAAAAGTGCGGTAAGCTCTATTAGTGTTGAGTGAAGATTCAGTTGATGTTGATGATGGTGCTAATGATTCAGTATAATTTGAAGAGGGTGTAGGGGTAGGGGGGTTGGATGAATTTATTGTGGAGGAGATTTGGTTTTTTGTTGGGGTATGGAGGTGGTAGGGTTGTTGTTGAAGGGTAATAAAATTATCTAGCTCTGGGGAGATTCGGGGGGTGTCTGGAGAATGAGATGATTGGTCAGAATGGTATGAGGAGTAGGTTGGGGTAACTTGGGAAGCATAAGAGGGTGTGGGAGTGATTGGGTCAGGGTTATTGGATAATATGGGTTGAAAAGGGGGTTGAGAAAAATTAGAAGAGTTATGAAAATGATTTGATGGGGATGGTTCTGAGTCGGCAAATTCATCGGGGGTTTCAATATTCGGGTTATTGAGTTGTGAGATGGAATATAAAACTGAGATGTGTGAATTAGTGTCGGAATTCATGCCTGATGTTACATTACTAGATGGAAAATCGGGTGGCGGAAAAGCAAAAAGTGGTATTATTGGGATTGGAGAGGTAAGATTGGTTGGGTGGGAATGTGATCGGTGTAGTGATCCAAGTTGGCGGCTCATCGTGGGCTAAAAAAATGATTATTTTGAGACTGAAAAGCGGTGGTATGGGGTTGTTCAATAATTTGTTCATAAGTATTATCATCTTGTGACTGGTGTGTCATTATATGTTGGATGGGACTTTGTGATGTGGTGAGTCGAAAATTTGGATTATGTGTGATGGCTAAATTTCGAAAATTTCGTGGGACTAGGGATAGTGGATGGTTATTTGGTAGGGGTGGTAATTGTGGTGCCGTTGGCGTTATGTCTACATTGTTATGTTCTTCGTCGTATGTATTTTGTCGTGTTGCTATTTTTGTGTTATATTCTTTTATTTGTGCGTCTAAAAGAATTTTGTTTATAGATGTAGAAAAGATTCCAAAAAATCCTGCAAAGAGTATGCGTGCTACGCTTGCTTGTCTGTTTACTTGTGTGTGTATAGCACATGTGTTGTAGATTCCTTTTAAAAGTGAGAAAAGAAATCCAATAAAGTTAAACATTGCGTATAAAATAGTCAATTTTTCTAAGATGTAGTAGGGCCATCCTAGAAAATCGAGGATCTCATTTTTGAGTGTAACAAAGCTAAAAATGTTAATTGGTGATATATCTTGGGGACGGTATTTTTCACCGTTTAGATATATATAATCTTTAATGTCTTTAAAATATCCGCTATAGTCTTGCGTGTAGATATCGGCAAATCCTGCGGTTTCTGCAAGTTTGCGTAAATTTTGGTCTATTGATTGTCTTTGTATAGTGTCCATTTGTGTTAATAATTCTTGGAATTGTTGTGTTCTAATGTGATGTTGAATATCTGATTTTGAGTATATTCCTATTGATTGTAAGTCTATATTTGGGTTTCGAGCAATAGCGCGAATGCTTTCTGGTGAAAATTTTTTGAGTGATTGCATTAATGTGGGATATGGAGTGAGAAGATAATATTTATTTTCATCAGGGTTTAGTTGTACTACATTGTGGCTGTTTTCTGATCCACATGGGACTGCGGTATCCCAGAAATAGGTTCTTCGTGAAAGTGTATCCACGAAATGTACTTTATTCTTATAAAAGATAGGGATTCTTTTATAACATCGTTTATCTTCAAAAACGTATAGTGGTGATACTTTTTTAGTACAAGTATAAAACCATAAGATGTTTCCTTCATAGTCTAAAAAATTTGATCTATTTCCAGATAATAAGTATCCTGCATAGGGTATTTTTAA